AAGTTGTGCAGCACGGCGGCTGGAAGCCGCCCTGGAGAATCATGGGCGGACATCGTCTATGCGTTTGTCTACTCCCGTGTCCTCCATCGCATCGGGGAAAACGCAAGAGGGGAAGGACTACTTGATGTTGTGCACACCGACTTGTCCGAGGACCCTTACGCGGACGAAAACAGCGGCATCCCGCACGAGGAAGGGGACGCCACATGGGCAGACGACTCTGCCTGGCCAGTCTCCGGAGACACCCCAATTGGGCTCCTGACCAAGACCAGACGGCTGTGTTCCCTTGTCCTCAGCAGCTGTTACCAGCACGGAATGCAGCCAAACCTACGCCCGAACAAAACTTCGGTCATCTTTGCCCTCCGAGGGCAAGGAAAAGTTGCGGCGAGGCAGCGGATATTTGGCCATGCCAAAGCGACCCTACGACTTCCAGACCTTGAGAAGGAAGTCCCCGTCGCGCTCCACTACAAGGACTTGGGTGGCATGGTTGATTGTCGCAACACTATGGCAGCTGAAGCTAAGAGAAGGCTTGGCATCGCTGCTACTGCTTTTAAGCAAGGCCAGGACCTCCTCTACCTCAACGTGACCATCAAGTTGCAGGTGAGAGTGCAGCTCTTCGCCGCCACGGTGGGGGCCACCTTCCACAACCTCGCGCAATGGATCCCCTCCGGCCAAGACTGGGACATATTGTCTGGTGGATACACACGTCTTCTACGGCGTCTGCTGGCCAAGGATTTCCCGGGCGAAACGCTCTTGCACATCCCGCCGGCGCTTGTGCATATCATATCAGGATCCTGGACCCTTGAGCTTCTTGCCAGGAGGGCAAGGCTCAGCTTGCTCGGATCCCTGGCCAGGGCAGCGCCTGAACTTCTGTGGGGAGCCCTGCAGGAAGAACAGACATGGCTAGCAGTCATCCGTGAAGACTTGCAGTGGCTTGTGGACAAAGCCACAGATGAGTGGCCAAGACTTCATGGCTCTGCATGGCCAGAATGGAGGACTCTTTTTGCTAATGCCAGTGACTGGGTAAAAAGAAGAACCAAGCGGCGGCTAAAAGAGGACTTTGAAGGCTTCCGTGCGAGGCACAAGGTCACCCTCACTTTGTGGGCGGTCTACAAGAAGCTTGAGGCGGCCCTCCCAGGTATTACCGAGCCCTCGTCCACATGGATCTGTCGACCCTGTGGGCGCTCATTCAGGTCCAGAGGAGGGCTGGGAGCACATTTCTTCAAAACACATGGACGCCGTGCTGGCTACAGAGCTGTTGTGGAAGGGGTGACCTGCCAGGCCTGCGGGAAAACCTACTGGTCCACAAACAGGCTTTCTCGACACCTACGGGACTCCAGAAGATGTGTTGCCACCCTACGCAGTCATGGCCTGATTGCCAAACAATGCGCGCCGGGCTTCGGAAGTAAGCTCTGGAGGAAAAGGGAGGCCGATGATTACAACCCCAGTGTTCCAGTGGACTCGACATCTCCGCTTGAACCCGGTGCAGACTCTGGATGGGATGATGTCCAAAAATCAGCTCACGCGGACCTCTGCCATGCTATCCTTGACCGTCATCTACCTGCAGTGGAAAGCCGCATCCTCGACATTGTCAAGGAGACCGTTGGCAAGTTCCCCCTCTACCAAGATGAGATGGACGACATCGTGGACTTTGTCCGAAGCGAGGTCACTGAGGTCGGCGCGGAGCTCATGGAGGACTATTGGACGGCAGAGGTCGCGAAGACTGTCGACAAGGCCCTTCAGAGCTTCCTGAACGACCACTGGCCGCTTGATGAGCCGGAGCGGCCTGACCCGCACAAGGGCATGACCCATGCTGCCTTTGCAAGCCAGGTCGACAGTTTCCAATGGGAACACATCTGGAACGCCACCAAAGAGCTTCACGGGACCCCTGAAGACTACATCATCAAACTGAGCTCCAGCTGGGAAACCGAGTGGCGGAGCCTTAGTGATGTAGTTGATGTCTCGGTCGTGAATGGCCATCTTTGGGGCTGGCTGCCGAAGGCTTTGCGTGAAGTTGTAAATAGGGCTCTCCAGGGGCACAGAATCACACTTCATGCTCCGGCTTCCTTCTGGCGGCACCAGATCTCGGCGCCCTTTTGGCGCTTCTCTCCCTTGCATCCTAATTAGGTCGCGTACTCCTCTGACGTCACGCAAAGTGCAAAGTGCAACTTAGTAATTAGCCGATTATATAGGTTACTTCGTCTAAGATTGGTATGTAGAAGCTAGGGTTCAGGTTTGGCCAGAGACTGAAAGCAGCGTAAGGTAAAAGCGGGGTGTCGGGTTTCGGCAGTTCGAGAACCACCGAGGACGAGCCAGAGCAGAAAAGCACGGAGAGGTCAATGATTGAAGTGCTTCACCCTTAAAATTCGACCCTAAATCCCTAAACCCTTAATCCCAAACTCTAGGCCCCTAAACCCTAAGCCCCTAAACCCTCAACCCCAAACCCGAAGCT